CCAGATGGAATCCCCTCAAGTGCAAACTGGGAAGGAGGAAATGGCTGAAATTAGAACCTGTTGCAAAACAAAAGCCCAGTAAGGGCTGTGTGGAATTTGAGGAGAGCATTTCATAAAGCTGTCAGGAGTGGGAGAACTGAAGGAAACTGGCTGGATATCTTGACCAGAAGTGGGCAACTTGTGACCCTATGAACATTTTGGCCTACAACTCCCATCATTCCTCACAATCAATTCTATTGTTGGGACTGATGGGTGTTGTAGGCCAAACTTTTGGATGGCTACAAGCTGCCCACCCCAGTCTAGGCTGCTGTAGGCTAGAGGGAGAAGAGCCATGCTTACAAATGTCTGATGGTCATTTAAGGCTGCTCTTTCCAGATGACAGTTATGATGAGGAAATACCATAGATCTGAGCTTCAAGCACTGGAGGAAGGCATTACTGTGGGATTCAGAATGACTCTCTTTTCCCAGACTAGTGCCTCCTCCTAAAACAGGGACAGTGCATATGTTTTGAAGATGCTCTCGGGGTGACAGGTGGGTGGGGGACAGAATACACCAGGGTCTGAAAGGGAAGCCAAAGACAAATAAGATAGCAGCCAACATCCACCAAACACCAGCATACGGTAGGGTAAAGCCCTTCTTGGCAGTGCCTAAGCCTTAGAAGAGATGTTCAACACTACACAATTGACGAAAACTGCACAGAAACTGGGAAACCGATGAATGACCAGGGGAAGAAGTTGGTGTTGGAGAAAGGGGTATTGACATCTCAAGAACCCCAGAAAGCCAGAGTGGGGCTTGTTTGGGCTCATAGCCTTCAGGCTCTTCTTCCCTATTCTAACACCCTGGTGTGCTTTCTGCCTTCATTGCTTTAAGGGCATATGATGCTTACCAGGGTGGGAAATCTTGGTCCATCAGCAATGGTTAGATTCCACCTTCCACCAGCCCCAGCCAATGACTAAGGTTAATAGGAGCGCTAGTCCAGAAACATGGAGGGGGGGGGGCAAGTTTCCCACCCCTGAGCTATACATCCTTTCCCTAAATATCTAAAGCACTTCACACAAATTCTTCTCTTTCTGGGTTTTCTGGTTTACGTGAGATAGGAAAAAGTGGGGGAAAGAAGCATCTGGCAAAGAATCGGATCAGAGTGGCAGTGCAGGTAGGATGAGATGATTGCTGACAAAAAATAAGACCTTATCCAGAAAGACAATGCCCAGTGCAAACAGAATTGAATGGAAAGGAAAAATAAAAGCTCAGCACAGAAATATAAACACACCATTTCTTTTTTGTCTTTCAGAAGTGACTGGGTAGACATATGTGTGTATATGTTTATTTGGAGCTGTCCTACCAAAGCTTGTGATGGTTCTGGCCATCAGACCTGTGCTTGGGGACCAGTTCAGATGTCCTGTTTCTGTTAGCCACACTGAGCATTTGCTACTTGATTTATTGCGGCTGATTTTCACAGCTTTGCTGCATGGTGGTGTGTTGTTGCTTGGCGTCTATGAGTCCCATCTTGGTATCCAGAGCTGATGCTGGAGTACTTTCAGACCTGGGCTTCTGTGTAACACTGTGACACACTATACGTACTTGGTGGGTGTAACCCAGTGGCAGGCAACCTTTTCAGGACCATGGGCACATTTGGCCTAGGCCACGACCACAGTGGTCATTTTGGGTGGGGAGATACCTTCTCCTCTTGCCCCCTTCCCCTGATTTCCCCTGTTCTCACCTTGCCCGGCTCCATCCCTCCTTGCTCAGAGTTCTACTCCCTCCACACCCGCCTACTGCTGCATGCTGCTCTTCCAGGAGCCTGCTTCCCTCCACCTCCCGGGCTCGCCCGCCGCTTCTCCGGTGCCTCGGAGCCCACTGGCTCCACTGCTTCTCTTGCAAACCCACCCACCAACAGCTGCCACCACGTTTGCAGCACAGGGGAACAAGGAAGCCGTGCCACAGCAGACCAACCCTCACTTCCAGGAGTAAGCGGCAAGTGAGTGGTGGGGGGAGGAAGGGGTGGGGGAAGCGGCTTGCCTGGCCTCCAACCCTTTTGGGACACTTGCCACTGCATCACCATTAAAGTAGGGGAGAATGGCCCCTCATTTTCTTGTTTCCCTCCATTCCCTTTAGATGTATAGTATAACTTTACAGCATTCCAGAGAGACCTTGGTTTGGCAGAGGCATCTGCCAAATCAAGGTTTTGCCCCAGCACCTGTTCAAGAACTGTTTATAGGCAGTATACAACAGTAAATCAATGACTGTCCTTATGACAATAATAAACAAGAACATTGTTGTAATGATGTGGATCATTAGCATTAAATGCTGCTAGGTTTGCTTTTATCTGGAAGGGCAAAGCACTGATGTGAGTTATTGAAGATGATCCCACACTATAACTGAGGTCATTTGGTCTGAGATGCTCCTCATCGCTCCACCTGCGATGCCTGCTGAGCATTTTTATGCTTCACACCTGGCAAGGCACTCCTTAACAGGTACACACTGCAGCCTCACATTAGCTGTGCTTCCTCAGAAGTGAATCCCATTGTATTCCTTGGAGCTTGGTATGTAAGGCGCAGGATTGCACCCTGACTCCCAATTCAGATTTCCTTGTAAATAAGAGGTTGCTTGAATCCTGCACACCAGCCGGACTCACAAGCATAACACTGCAATTTCACTGAGTCGCCCACTCAGCTCCTTTCAGAAAGTGGCTTCAGCAGTGTCAAAGCTCAGCCCATGCTCACACTAACTGCTCGCATGACTGTTCAGCAAATATGCAGCCCCCGTGGAAAGCACATGTGCCACGGGGTTTGACCCAGATTTAAGAGGGATCCAGTGTGCAGGTGGGACTGGACTTCTCCATCCCCTCCTCCACATGGCAATCCATCCTTCAGATGCCATACAGGAGGTGGGGAGGCCCTAACGAATGGGGTGCGCTGCAAAATGTGTGGGGTAGGGGGATCCTCCCCAGTAGGGTAGAAGGACTTTCCACAAGCAGGACCTTTCCTCCTGGAGAAAGGACAGCTGGGATCCAACCGTTCCTTGTGCGAACCGCTCTTGCCGCCACCACTGCCATGGCAACCATGTGTGCGGCATGTGGAGTCTGTGCACACGGCTGCTGGCATGGTCTGTGGAAGCTGCAAAAGCCGCTCTTAAGGATACACCTGGTGGCTCACGTGTCAGACACGGTCAGAGATGGCTTTTGGGGTTTGGCAGTGTGTGCGCAGGGGTGTCATGCTGGTCCTTCTCGGGTGGTGTCAGGAAGGGGTGTGGAGCATGGGGGGCAAAGAAGGGGGGCACAGCCAAGAGCCACCCCCCTCTGGTTAGCATCCTGCTACTTCTGGTTTGTGCTCCTTGCACATCTATGCTTGTAGGGCTGGGTGGAGAATGAACAGAGACTAGGTACAGTCATTTCTTTTATTCAGCCTTTGGTGTAAAGAATAGACAAATCTCCCTGTTCCACAAACAGTATCATCCCGAACAGTTCTGTGTAACTGGAAAGCTGGTGTTCTTGCTCCCCTAAGAATATGGGTCCATTAAGCAGTCATCTGTTCCATTTGCTGATCTAGTCAACAATTGTCGACACCAATCTCCTGATAGGGCCGAAACTTTACATGCTTGGCCTTATCGCAAAGGTAAATTTATTGTGCTGCTGGCAGGTTTTAAGTAAAAACCATTCGATGTTGTTACAGCAAACAGTGTGTCTCCTGCCAGCCTTTTAAGTGTTATTTGTGTCTTCCTCTTTGTGTGGACTGTGCTTGGAGCTCAGGACTTAATTTTACACGTGGGGGGAAGCCTGCTAAGCCCTGAAGCTATTTCCCCCTGCCCCTTTTCTACTGCCAGGCCCCAGAATGTAAGAGGGGGGTGTCTCTGTGTGCATGTCTGTGTATGTGCGCCTAACCCGCCTTTTTCCTTCAAAGAATCCACAGCGGCTTACATAATTTTCCTGCTCTTCCTCTCTACCTTACTCTCACAATAACCCTGTGAGGTAGGCCAAGGACTGGCCCAAGTTACCCAGTGAGAGTCATTGTCTAACCCTGACTAGAGGCTGCATATCTGGCGTGCTGGTCTAACCCTCCAAGCACTGCAAAACGCTGGTTCTGTAACGTAAAAATGTACGCAATGGATGGCATGTGCGCATACCGGTGAATACACAGACACCCCCCCCCCCCGGTGCAGCCACGATTCGCAGTGCAAGACGGCGTTTTACGGGGCGGGCAGCGAGGCGTCTGCCGTGGACTTGTTGCTTTCGCCAAGGGCGAGGCGTGGGTTGCAGTCGGGGAGGCAGGAGTTAGTCCGGGAACAGTTTCCGCAGGATTCGCTCTGATCTTGCCAGGGAGCCACGAACGGCTTTGCTGTTGCTCCGGCTCCCTCCTCTTCTTTGGGCGGCATCCCAGCTGAGGGCTGCGAGCGGAGAGCTGCCGCTGCCCCTCTCCCTCCTCGCCTCGCCCTTCCCTTCCCTTCCCTTCCCTTCCCTTCCTTTCCCTTCTTTCACCCTCTCGCTTGCTCCGCTCTCTCGCTCGGTGTGTTTTGTTTAAATGAGAAACATAGAAGGGGCGGGCCCTGGGCGAGCGTGTAATCGGATAGCTCTGCCTTTCTGTCTGACATCCACATGCTGCTCTGCCTGAAAAGGCTGCGAGGAAGCCGAGAGGGAGCCAAAGAAAGGGAAGAAGCCACCGAGACCGCGTCGCGCTGCTCCTGCCGCCGCCGCCGCCGCCGCCGGCCGCACATCTTCCAAGAGCAGCGTCAGGCAAGGCGAGGAAGAGGGTGGCGCGGCGCGGTGCAGCGCAAAACTCACGCAGCAGCCGCAGCAGCCCGCAGATCGCGCCGCTTAAGAGGCAAACGCGGCGGCGGCGGCGGCGGCGGCAGTCCAGCCGCACTTCAGTGCTCATCCCGAAAACGCCTCTAGCGTGAAACTGACCGCCGGCGGCGGCCCCCCTTGGTGCAAACGGACAGGGGCGCGGGCGCGGGGGGACTAAGCCCGACTCCCTCCGCGGGCTCGGAAATTAACACTCGGCGGCGAGAGGGGGAGACGCCGCGATCTGGCTCGGGGCTGCCGGCGTGGCGTCCTCGTGCGTGCATCTCTCCGCGGCTCTGGCAGGAGGCGACACCTTTCGTCCGGCGGCCCTGCGAGGAGGAGAGCGCGGGCAGCGATGCCGCGCTGAACCGTGGCGCTCTCCCGTGCCCCGCTCCGTAGACGCGCGCGTGTGTCCGCGCGCGTGCATTTCACACACGGCGGTGTGTCATTCGGAGCGTGCGTCTCAATAAGCCGCTGCCCGCAGCGCCTCCTCCTTTCCTGAATTCAAGGAGTTCCCTCCGGCTTGCTGAGCCTGCTCGGGAGTGGGATTGTATCGAGAGCGGAGAAGAGGGAGCCCCGCAGCGGAGTGGGGACGCCGGCGAAGGAGATTTTGCGGCGGAGGCAGCGTCACCCCGGAGCCAGGGGGAGAGGGAGAGCGAGGACCTCGCAGTCGCAGGGCGCCCCGTTCCGACTCGGCGCCGCTTGGGAGGAATCGCCCTTCTGCCGCCGAGTATTCCCCCAAAATGGATACAGTTCCTCTCCTCTGGGGATTTCTGCTTCTCTGCTTAGCCGGCTCTGGGGCCATGGGGCAAGCAGCAGGTAAGACCAAACAACTCCCCTATCCCCCTTTTTCTTTCTTTTGCGCGGGGGGAATACCTATTGCCTATAAAGCTCGCAGGGGTGGGGGAAACGACTATTCCTCCTAAGGTCAGATTCCCCGGCGGATCTGCATGTATCCATGAGGATAACTCCCGATTCCCCACACGGAACTTTCACCCCCCGCGCGCCCATCAAATACACTTGAGTTGGTTGCCGTGTGGATGGGCGGCACTCTGTGCAATAGAGTGGAAGATCCGAGGGGTTGTTCCGGGGGGGGGGAGTTAACTGTTGTGTTCGGATGTCACATATGGAATAAATCAAGGGTTTAAAAATACTACAAAGTCCCGACGCCTTACACTTCTGCGGAGGCGGAGGAGAGATTGTTGTTGGGGTTTCCCCTCCCACACACCACCCTAAATGCTGAGTAGAATTCCCCACAGGAAGATCTTCCCCACAGGAAGATCGAACAAATCATAGATAGATTTAAAATACGTTTTCGAGGATCCGCATGTTTTACAAAAGGGACCGTTCAGCGTGTGTAGCGCAGATCACCCGAGTGGCGAGTCAAGACTGCATCTCTTCTGCCTAGCAAGTCTGTAACGGACAAAATAGTTGAAGGGGCAGAAGAAGCAAGGACTCCTTCAGCCCCAGCCCCGAAAGCTGGCCTGTTTCGCGGGGAGAGGGGAAGGGAGAAGACCCTCTGGAAACCTTCCCCAACCGGGTGCCCTCCAGATGTATGGAACTATAATTCCCATGGCTAGTCGGGGATGCTGGGAGTTGTAGTGGAGGGCACATTGGAGGGCATAAGGCTGGGGAACGGTGGCCTGCTAAGTTGGCAGTATTAGCAGAACGCCCCCCCCCCCAGCAGCGCAGTAGGATCACCTCCGTGAGATGGACAACCTTGCGAAGTGATTGCGAAGTTTTCTTGATGGAACTTGACTTGCCAAAAACAAAAAAGCAAAAACCCGCCCGTAAGGCAGACAGAAAGCGAGGCGGAAGACTTACGGCCGGCGAGGCGAGTCGAACTGTGCCGGGATAGGCGAAATGCCGCGTCCCCCTTTCCCATTCCAAACCGCGGTGAACTGTTACCAAAAAAGTAAAGCCGCCTGCTTGTTAAGAAACAAACCGAAGCCTCCCCCTTGTTACTGAAAGAAAAAGAGACCTAATCCCCGCTTTCTAGCGAAGAGGGCGCACTAAACCCATCCGCCCTAATTACTTGATCTGAGATCTGACACTCATTTCCTCCGAATTAGCCACCGAGCAGGCAGTGAAAACTCAGATAAGGAAGATCAGAAACAAAACAGGATTTAGAGAGCAGAGGGGGAGGAGGAAGGCTGAGAAAGCACCAGCCTCGCAGAAGGGGGCACGGGGTAATTTTGAAGTGAAAGTTGGAGAGGGGAGCGCGGCCCGCTTACAGTTCAAGGCGAGTACGGGCCATTTCCAGCGGCGCTAATCTAAGCGTACTGATTTAGTTCGAAAGGGCTACTCTCTAGTAAGGGTGTTAGGGTTGCAGCCGCGTATTCCTGTGCCCACCCAGTTCAGTGCTCCTTGCACCCCCCTGAAATGGGCGCAAGATCGCAAGGTGAACCTCACCCGGCATCTTCGCAACCAGCTTGCCAGACTGTAACGTGCTTTTGCAGAGCAGGAAACCATTTTGCTGATGAGGAAACCAGGGTGTATCTTGAGCCAGGGGTCGCGAGACCTCCGCTCCGGAGCCCGTTTTTTCACTGCTGAGTCAATAAATAAATAAATAAACCTGGCCACAGAAGATGATAGACCGAAACCGCGGCTCTGAGCATAAGCAGAGTGTCTTTGCTGCATCACAGCCATGCATTCGGCTAGATGGTGCAGGTTTAGCGACAGAGCCTGGGGAGCTGCCAGGGAGGGCCCGGCAGCTTTCCTCTGAGGACAGAACGCTTGGAAGAAGCCGAAGGATCGGCGACCGTTGAACCCATGGCGCAAGAGGCGGGGAGGACAGAGCCAAACGCGCATCCGGGCAGACTTGGCACCCTCAGGATTTTTGTCCGTCTGGCCCAAGAAAGCACTTCTGTTATTTAAGGGCGGCGGCACCCAGTTGTAAAAAGAGCCGTTTTACTGGTGGAAAGGGCGGACACCCTGTTTTTAATCCAAGCTTCCATCATTTCCCCACCACTCCTCTTCTAAAAAAATAAAAGGATCGCATTTCTTGCCGTTGGTTGCTGGTGCTTGCAAGCAGCGCCGCAGCAAAGCCAGCCAGGCAGCCAGCCCTGCGCGAGCGCCGTGGCTGAAGGCCCGCGCGCGTGTGCGTGTGCATGTGCGTGCGAGCAAGCGCGCGGGCGCTGGGGGCCCAGACATTCCCGGTCTCTCCCCGCGGCGGTGCTTCCTGGCCAGGGTGCAGCGCGTGCTGCGCGCCGCCAAGGGACGGGCTCCTTTTTGGCAACGCCGAGGCTTGCGGCAGTGCCCGCCTCTCCCGCTAGGCTGCCGCGTGGAAGCCGATGCATCAAGTCCTGGCCGGAGGAGATGCCTCGCTGCGCCGCCTCCGCCTTCGGTCCGCCCCACCCCCGCGCCCGCCGCCGGTCTTCAAGCCTCCCCGAGCGTTTTGCGCACAGGCACAGCGCCTCGCTCAAATTCTCCCCGGAAGCCGCGAGCCGCCTTTCCAAAGAATGGATGCCTACCATCCCAGGCTTAACTTCGGTCTCGTTCATTTCAGTGGGTCTACTCGGAGTAGGACTAACAGTTGGCTGCACGCCTCTTCCTGTGCATAGGACATCTTCCAGACCTGGGGAATGCGCCTTGCGCAAGGCTTGCTGGCTGGCGCGTGGGCAGGGGCGTCGGGTCTGGCACGAACGGAGAAGGGCGAGAGCGCCCGGCCTGCCATGTTTTCACTAACCCCTCCCGCCTACATCTGGACGCCTACAAGCCCCTCTCCTCTCGCAGGAAAGATCTGGCGCTCCAGGGCGGGAAGGATGGGTGCTGGAAAGATTTATCAACAGAACGCAAAGGATAGGGGGACAGCTGAGAGGAAAGGATTATCAAGTCATATTAATGTAGACCAATGCAATGTTTAGTTCCACTTGCTTCCAAAACAAGGAAGAAGAAAGGGAAGTAAACTGCTTCCACACCCAGCAACAAACCAGGCACCCACAAAGGCAAAGTATGAAGGAAAGAGGTGGAGAAGATAGGTGGAAGGAAGGCACCTGGGGAGGGAAACTCTTGTTAGGTTTTTATAGCAGAGACACAACATGTCATCTTAGAGATAAAACGCAACTGAGTTCAGTGGGGCTTAGTCCCAGGAAAGTGGTTAAGACTGCGGCTAGGGTTGTATCCAGTACTAGTCCTCCTTGGAGTGGGCCCCTCAAAATCAAGTTAGACTAACACTGGGGGCAAACAGACCCTTGATGACTATTTAAGATTATCGCTGAACATGTCTCAGTGGCTGATGTGTTCAAAGAGGAATCAAGAGGCTCCCATGGAAAGAAGAGTGATTAATCGGTCCTCAGAAATAAGGGACTCTGCTATAGTTTGGCCTGGGGTAAGAGAAGAAGCAAGGTAGAGTAGAAATGGGTACGTTAGCATGCCTGCCTGACTTCCTCCCTCTAATAAGGGTCCTTAGCAGTGGTGATCACTGAGGGTTAGTTGCCCCAGGTTCTTCTCAAGCCTGCCCTGCAGGGACCAATGCTAAGTATCAGGGAAAAAAAATGCACATTTGCATGTTCTGAGTTACTCTTGCTCCAAAATCGGTGTGCATCTTTAAACGACCCAACCTCCTAAGAACACCTTTATTTGTGAAAAAAGGAATGTATGGCCAGGGGAGAGGAAGGCATTTGATTTCTGGAAGAAGCTCAGACAGAAAGATTTTGGGGGAGAAGCAGCAGGAGGTGAAGCACGTGGGTGGAAAGCCAGCCAGCCCAAGGGAATCAGATACAACTGATTTTCAGGGAGCCTATATTTCAGCAAGTGCCCATGGGCAGCAGAGCTGTGGGGCAGATGGCAGATGGGCTCCCAGAGACTTAGGGCTCCAGCCTCACTGGTCACACAATGCCTCTGCTCAGGTTTGGGATCCTGGGGGTGTCTGAAGGGTCAATCGCCTGCCCATAGGCAATTTATACAAATAGCAGCTGTAAAATAAAGGTTAGATTGCCGCTGGGGGTGCAGCTGCCCCACTACAAGGCCTGTTCTGCTGCCCAGCATGGATCCCAGAGTGGATTTTGATTCCTTGTAAGGTAGATGCCTGAAGCTGCTCCCCTTTGGTAAAAGCCCTCCTCTCTAATAGATTATTAGCCATCTCATCACCACTGTGCTGTGGAATCCCTCCAGAGGATACACTCCTCCTCCCCAGCCTCATGATTTAAGTGAAATCGGCAGGGAAATCAGAAACATGTGATTTGAAGTAATGGAGGGGAATACAGAAAAGGGAGAGGGATGGGGGAGGATGCATCTGTAGCAGAGGCAGGCCTGTCCCTCTGTTCCTGGCACTAAGTGCATTGCTGCAGAGGGCTGCTGTTTTGCGGACTGCGGTAGTAGCCCTGTGCCTACAGTTTTTTTTTTTTTTCCTTTTCTAGTGCCCAGCTTCTCATAGGCACAGGCAAAGAAAAGGGGGTCTGTTGAGCATATGGTGCTATATATGATAGAGTCACAGGTAGCGCCACTGTAATCCCTGCTCAGCTGGGAGCCCCAGAGTTTAGGTGGAAAGAACAGCTGCTTGCAGCCTCAGCAGTGTCACCTTTAGCATCGTGCCTGAGCCTCTCGGTCCTACATAATCAGCCCTGCTTATGGGAGGAAGCTGTTAAAACATGTGCAAGAGACACGTGCATGGCTAGTGCGGAACATGCTAGATTCTTTCACTTGTTCTAGATAGATTCTGTCACAGTCTTCCCTATCCTTGTGGCTTCAGGATGTACTGGATTACAACCCCAGAATCCCCCCAGCTGACGGGGGGGGGGGTTCTGGGAGTTGTTCTCTAGCACATCCCAAGGGCCCCAGTTGAGTGATGGCTGATGTTTCCCTTTAAGACTCTTGGG